AAAAAAAGCTGAAAACCTTTTCATCAATAGATATAGACATCTTTTTCAAAGTTCTTTATAAATTGGTTTGTCGTGCGTTGCACTGAATTATTTAGTACATGAAAAAGCCTCGTGTATTTTAACATGAGAATTTAATAGTATTTGCTGAAACTTATTGTTCAACGATAACAGCATTTTTCTTTTCTGTCTTTCTTTCTTTTTTTGCTTGTACGGTGGTTTCTCCAGAACAAGTGTTAATAATAATTGTCGATATAGTAAGTGCACCATTGAGAACGCCTGTCTGCACATTGTGTCCAGCAGATGTCACTGTGGAGACACGTAAAACTGTTTTGAAACCTTGATACAAATGGCACAAATGCTTTGAACGTTTCAGTGTTTCATAAAAACTTCCTTTGCTCATCACTAACACATATAATACGTTGTGGCGACCCCTAAAGGACCGAAAAATATTTTTGTTTTTCGGCACTATATAAATAAAGTTGCATGGGGGAAAAAATTCTTGGAATATACTAACTCCATAATGTCGTGGAATTAAATTACACATACATGACACGCAGGAATCACGAATAATATTATAAATATAAACATAGTTTTAAGTATTTTACAACATTATTTATTTTGTGTGGGAAAGAAAACCTTATCGTAGCATATCAATGCTTTCATATCGGTGCCTATAACCCCCTTAGTCTTGCTAATGGTTCTTTCCAGTAATGGTAGCATCAGCGTGGTGAAGGTGAAGGCAGCGTGTATAAACAACGGAGAAGGAGTGAGCACTTAAACGGTTACATGTTGTAACAGCTACCCGTGAATCGAGATTTGAAGACCTTTTAGCTTGACCCGTCGGAAAACAGGAGAGACTCTATAACAAAATGGTAAGATATTGCCAGGCTAAGGCAGCTAATGTTGTTAGCTAACAGTGGCTAACGTGCCAATTCCCCAAGAAACTGGTAAAAAAAAATTGGTTAGCGAGAGGTTGTGATAGCTTTATAATTAGAAGTAGACATTGAAAACTTAAAAGTAAGTTAAATGAAAAGTGTCTTGTTAATCCTATTCATGTGAGCTAGAGAGTTTACCCATGAAGTCAAATGATCTAAAAGAGTCTCTAAAACATTGTCAGCGGTTTGTTGTACCCTGCTCAAACAGTTGGACGTAAGTAATAAAGTGGCATCTCACACAGCATTAGCAACTACATTACAAAACGAAGTTGTTATAGGTGTTAACTACAGCAGGATTAAAAACTTAAGGTAGGTAGGTAGGTGAGGGGAAAACATATTAGTTGACTGAAGTAAAAACAAGTCTTTAAAACAAACAAACAAAATTTTACTGTGTGTAAAATGCCATCAAAAAGTCAATTAAGTTTTATTCTTTCTCACCTGTCTTTCTGTGTCCTTTCACTTATTAAAGGTTGCCATGTTAGAAAAAATATTTTGCCCTGCCATGCTGTTTATTGATGTGGCAAATGAATGGTTTATGAAAATATATCTAAGCATATCTGTGCCTTCATTTGAAAATCAGCTGCTTTAGGAAGTCAGCAGTGGCACAAGGATGTATGGAAGTATGTGAGGATGGTGCAAGACGTATGATGACAGTGAGACAGTAGAAGTGACCGCTGGTAGGTTGGTAAGGGGATCAGCTGTGAGCTACTTCTTGTTTGCAGTGGTGATGAACAGGCAGACAGACGAGGTCAGGCAGCTTGACAACGATGTTTGACAGCTTTGTGATCTGTAGTGAAAAAGATGGAAGCATATCTGCGTATGTGAAGGTATGCGAGACAGAGTCGCAACCACACAAAGCAACAGACACTGAAGAAGAGAGTACAGGTAGAAAATAATGCCAAGGCTGACTGGTTACAGAAGGACAGCAGCAAGAGTGAAAAAGCAGGTTTACTTAACGGTAGTGAAACCTAATGTGTGGTTT